CTAGAAAAAAAGGGGTCTCCTGGTTCTGTGTTGATTTTAGATGGGTGAAATATGGTAACTCACGTTGGTGCCTTTCTCTTGTCATGAACAGATGAATATTTGAGTTCATTGAACGTTTCCCTTTAGTTCGACACTTTAGATTGGGTATTTGGATAATGGATGACAAGAGTAGACCTAAGACTGCTCTTATCATGAAGAATTAATTTTGTATCATGCAATTTGGTCTGTGTAACTTGCCCACCACATTCGAGAGGTTACTGGAGTTTACACTGAAGGGGTTCCAATAGGAGAGATGCCTGGTTGATGATGTTTGGTTGCATTTTAAATTCTGCAGCTGAGAAACTAAAAATGTTATTCCAACAGTTGAAAAAAGCAGGTTTGAAATGGAAATCAGGAAAATGTGTGTTCATGTGCATGTAAGTGGGATTTCTTGATCATATTATAGGTAGAGATGGAGGCTCAAAAGACTCTGCTAGAATAGCATTGATGTGAGACTGGCCTCAACCTATGACCAAGTGAGAAATCCAGTTTCATTGATTTTGCATCATATCATGGCTAGCTTCTCTAAGACTGCAACACCCCTGTCTACTCTCAGTAAAGTTGGTATGAACATAACATTGTGAGGAATGTGAATGGACATTTCATTCTCTAAAACATACTTTAGTATAGACTGGTGCTAGCATAACTATGATAAGGCTGTGAGTTCTTATACCAACACCAGATATGCTGAAATCAGAGCAGTGAACCATGCTTTACTGAAGTGGTTAATGAACTTTATAAACATCCAGGTGGGATGACACCCCATTGGATGTTTCATCATATTATATAGGATGAGCTTGCAATAGAGAAATGCCATGGATTATTTTGTCACATGTTGAGATCTTGTCTGTTTGTTTAATATTCTGACTCTGGACAATGTGTGAGAGTTGAAACCATTTCTGCCATAGTGCCATACAGTAGGAGATTTCACCACAATTTACACATTTAGGAAGTTCAGAGAAGAGCAACCAAAGGACTCAGACCTAGTGTGAGCATTCCTTGCTATGAAGCTAGGTAACGTCTAGCCAGAACAGTTGAAGGAATCTTGCATGGATGCACATAACTTGTGGCGCTTGTATGGTAAGTTATGAATGCAAGAAGTTGTGCTGTAGCATCATCAACTACCAAGCTGTGGTTATCCACTAATGGTCTCCAGAAGTTTAAGGCATGAGACTTTCCAGACATTACATAATACTAAGACTGGAAACTACCAAGGTGTTAACGTTCAATGGTATTTTTATTGGCCACATTTGAGTCGATATGTTCAGTGTCATTGTAAGCAGCATATGATGTGTGCTGCCCAGAAAACGAGACATACAAAACAGGTTAGAGTTTTCCAATAGATACATGTTTGGATCTTCTCCTGGGTACTATTGATCCACTCTTGGAAACTGAATAAGTTAATCAGTTCATACTCATTAGCACAGTAAACCTTGCAAATTGGGCTTAAGCTTATTCATTGGTCAATAATCTTGCACAGTCGATAGCTGATGTGCTGGTGGAACACTAAATGGTCCAGTTAGGAGTATTGAAAGAGATCCACATGTATCAGAGTACTAGTTTCAACAATCAACTATTTTCTTAATTGTTTAGAGTATTAAGTGTGGAGAAGACACGCATTTCAATGTACCATTCCCAGTCCAATGATTTGGTAGAATGGGTGACATAGAGTATCAAGTGTATACTTCCTAAGTTTGTTTATCCTAGCCAAACTGTCTGGAATTAACACTCACCATATGCCATGATTAGAGCTGGGCAATTAACTCAGTTACTCGATATAATCGATTATTCATGAGCATCGGTTACAGTGATTATGTCACATAAACTAATCAGTTAATTTGACTTACAATTAAGTCAGTCAAAGCCACGAAAATAATCAATTAATCAAAACTGGAGTATCTAATTATTACTACTTTAGATTGTTCCATATACCTAAGTAATTGAAATATTGCCATTATATTTGTATGTTGTTAAGCACAAACCTACAGAATGGGCTATTTGCCTTTCCACTAGCAACTTAGATCTTTGGATGGTTTAAGAGAATAATCAACCATTACACCAAGACCCCTTTGTTTCATGACACTGTTAAGGTTATTCCCATCCAAATTATACTTATTATTCAAATTATGATAACCCACATGCATAATCTTGCATTTTTTATAATTAAAACCCATCTGCTATTCATTTGCCAAACTCACTAAATGATCTTATCCTTTTGTAAAGCAGCAGAATCCTCTTCACAGTCAGCAACACCCAAGATCTTAATATCATCAACACATTTAAGTAATTTATTAACCATTCCTTCATCTATAATGTAATGCCATTGAAGTGAATCGAAAAGAGCAAAAGTCCCAAGCCTGAGCCCTGAGGTATTCCATTTGTGACATTAATCCAGATTGACTGAACTCCATTTATGACAACCCCTGCTTTCTTCCGTCCAGCCACTCTTCTATTTAATTAGCTAATTTATCTCCTACATTTATACAAATATTTTTACAAGCCTTTTAAGTGGCACCTTGTCAAAAGATTTCTGAACATCCAGGTACACCAAATCCTCACCCTTACCCTCATCTACATAGGCAGTAACTTTTTCAAAGAATGTCCAAAGATTTGTAAGGCAAGATTTTCCCTTAGTGCAACCATGTTGACTATCAAATTAAGATTCTAAACTTTGTTAAACGACCTTGCAAAGCATCTTTTATCAGACTTTCCAAAACTTTTTCCATAACTGGTGTAAGATTAATAGGCTTACAATTACTGGGACAATTTTTATTGCCTCCCTTGAAAATAGAAGTAACATTAGTTAACTTCCAATCTTTTGGGACCTGCCAAAAATAGTAGCACGTGGCTCACATATTCAATTCTTAACTTCCTTGAAAATCCTTGGGAAAATATTGTCTGCCTCAGGAGCCAGGTTGATGAAGCTTTTTGTTTTCTATAAGGAACATGTCTATCTTAAATGTATAAAAATTATTTTTTTAGGTTCTTCCACATTTGATAAGTGTCTCCAATTAATTCAGTTGCCTAATTCACCACAGAAAATTCTTGTCATATCCCTTCTAAATTTGTTTTTTTGAAATTTATAACCAAAATACCATTATTCCTTATCTCCATATGCAGCAAAACATTGAACCTAATGGAACAATGATCACCTTCCCCCAGGTCTTCCCCAATTTCCACCCTCTCGATCATTTCTATATTAGAAGTTAACAATAAATCCAAAATAGCGTTTTTTTCTAGTAGGTTCTAATTGGTAAACCACCCTGAACTGTTTCTAAAAACCTGTCTCCCTCATGGTTTATCTTTAACATTTCCCAGGCTATATGCCTGAAATTAAACATACTCATAATTATGATCTCATAACATTTGAAATCTTAATCCAACTGTAGCCTTCCTCATTGATTTCATAAGTTTCATCTGGTGGTCTGTAATAAATTCCCATTAAAAGCCTCCCCCACCCATATCTACTAACAGAAACCCAAATAGATTCATTCTCCTTACCAATGTCTTTGATATCACCAACTTCAAAAGTATGTAACTCACATTTTACATATCAAGTCGCTCTTTCCTTCTGTTTAGCACTCTTTTGGCAATCAGTTTCAGTTCCTTATTCACATTGGATTTTTAAAGAAATTTACCTCGTGGTAAGGATATTCCGAGTCTTGTCCTGATGCTGTACCCCAATAATTATATAACAGATGCATCAGAAAAATGATTTTTATGTTAATAGTGAAGCGCATGAAATAAAATGCCAAAATATAATCGAATAAATTATATTTCATAAAGTATTCGATTAAAATGTCTAGACTTTATAATTCTCAAAGTATAAAAATAATGCATTTTATTCACAAAATATGTACTATGGATATAATGTTTACATGACAAACCATTTGAGCAAATTGAAATCATTTCTATATCCAAAGACTGATCTAATTCGTTTTCGGTAAAACTGAAATCATGGTAACTACAAAAGTATAGTTTGTATTTTTATTAATTTTAAGATAAAAGTATATTGTATTATCATCCAGGATGTGTGATGTATTCTGTACTTCAACTGCATGTGAGTCAAATATAGGAAACGAACTTGATCCACTATATATTATACGGACACCTGTAGACTAGATCCACTTGAAAGCTCATTAAGACTAAGTTGCATTCCAACTATCATTATGTTTCTTAAATATTTTACAATGTCTAATAATATCGTTATTTTTTATGTTTTATAATCAATACCATTACAAAATACAGGTTCTAATATAATGGTTACAATTTGGTAAATGAAATAGGGTGTAAACATTTCCAAAGAAATATACTGAACATTACCAATGAAATAGAAAAAATATGGAAATACAGGCCTATTTAGATACTTCATCCTATTATGAATTAAAACATGACATACAATCAAACACTGAAACAAACATCAATATATACCCGTTTTTTTATACTTCTCTGCAGATAATTAGCTGGTATGATTAAAACCACGACCCAGAATTCTTATGGAATTTTATACCATTATTCATATAAAAATCTAGTTTATAACACTTCTGTATCCAGTGTTATTTCTATGCAATGCTTGACGTACACCTCAAATTTCCTCTTATCTTGTCCTCTAAATTGGTAAAAACACATGTTCTTGATTTTTCAAAATCTTAACTGTTTTCTGTCTATTAATTTGCCATTTTGTTTCCAGGAGTTTGTAATGGTATGAGTTTTTCTTCTCACCTCAAATTTCTGCTAACCTAAGTTCTTTTAGAATGTCTGCAACAATGCCGTTTCTTCTTCTTTTTTTATACATGATGGCTTCATTTAAAGACATTTTGGTCTAACCAATGCGGAAATACGTACAAGTTGCAATGAACTCATCTTCTATCTAGTACGAAGTATTTTCCTATAATGTCATTCATTATTTTTGTATACTACTTTTTTCCAACTGCTCCACATTGGTGTAGAAAATATTTTCTCTAATCTGCTGGCATTTTACCCATCAGTCTTTGAACGTCTACTCCTGATTTTACTCCAGAATCAATTACCACTTGAGAATGGTCTGGTGTATATAAACTGGCTGCAAGATGGCGTTGTGTGTTCTGAAGCACAACTTGGTATAGTTGTTTATATTTCTCTTGTAAATGATTCCGGTAAGTTAACAACCGCTCTTGTTCGGAATACAAAATTTTTTTATCAGATTGTAGCATTTCAAGTTCCTTGGTAAGTCCTACAATCTGATCAAGTTTTCGCTTCCGGCAATTCTGTGCTGCCACCTGCGTACAATACGAAATGCATTTGTTATTTGTGTGAAAATTAATTATATCATAAGAGTAAAATCTTATATATATATATATATCGCGAACCGTGGTGTCTGTCTGTACGTTTGCCTGTCTCCCGTTTATGGCAACCGCTTCTCGCGTTATGTTTGAAAAGCTGCGGTCGCATGCAAAGCTCAACATTCACTTTTGAAATGACGGGAGAACAGGCATAAATAATGTTGATGCCAAATTTTATTTCGAAAGCAGGAAATTTTACACTAAATTGTTAGGAATTAATCACACTATCATTCACATTTCAAAATGTGACGTAACTTAAAGAATATAAATGTAGATTTACCGTATGTTATTGTTGCGCGGTTCTCAGAATGACTGAAAGGATCAATAATTACTTTTCGCAGTGAGCAGTATAAGTAGCTCAGAGTTTTGACTCTGAGTCAAATCAGGAGTGCAACACAATTAACCTTTTTAAAGTTCATGAAATAATTTAAATTGATAGATTAACTTAAACTTTTCTCGTCACTGGGGACGGGTACTTTTGTATGTAACGTAATAAATTTCAAGATCACAAAGCACTAATAAGGCGTTACGAAGTAGAAGAACGATTAATACAGCTTAACACTCTTTAATATATTTTTTTTTACATTTTGAATTAATTCACTCCGTTGAAAAATGCTAACAGAACTTATTGATATTTTATATATCAAGTGACGTAAAGAAATTTTACTGAATATGTTGTACTTAATATATTTTTTGTAGTTCACTGTTTGAATTACTATTAAGTGTGTATATGACAAACTTCCAATTGAGCCTAATAAAGATGAAAAGTTAACTTAAATAATAAAGTACATATTTCTATTTTTTAATAGTTTTTTTTCAAATACGCAATAGATAACGCTGTAGACTAGATCACTAGAATTATCAGAGTAAAATGTTTGAACCAGACAAAAGCATAATCCTGGCAATGGAATGACCAAAGCGTAATGGTTTGAGTCTTTTACTAATGGACAAACAAAACTTCACAATCTTGATACTACGATCATTAAAGCATATTGATTGAATTGATGACCAAGCAAACAGCAGGCACAATTCCAGCATTAGGAGGAACTAAGCATTATGTTGAAATTATATGGGTATTTGACAAAATTTAGTTTTCATCCTAGAACTAAGATAAAAGAAAAAGCTTAATGTTTAAATCATAGAGAGCAAAAAGCATAATCCTAGCGATCTGGCATAGCCTGGTGGTTAGAGCTTTCGACTCGCAATACGGGTTCGAATCCTCCTCATCGAATGTACTCAGCCTCTCAATCATGTGAGCGTTATAATGCCACAGACAATTATTCGATTAGAGTAGCCAAAGAGTTGGCGGTGGGTGGTTTTGACTAGCTGACTTCACTCTAGTTTATCACTTCTAAATTAGGGGCGACTAGCCAGAATAGCTTTGCGCAAAATTCAACAAACAAACACTCTTAGCAAAAGGTTGATCCAACAGTTATTTCTTGGTGTGCACCTCAACTTTCGTTTAACCTTCTTCTTTAAATTGGCAAAAATACGTTATTGGTTTTCCAAAACGTTGAACATCTTATGTTTATTAATTCGAAATTTTCTGTTTGCTGTTAGGAATGTACAATAATTGCAAAAGTATGACATTAAAGTGAAAACAAAGAACATAACGCTGCGAGGATGAGGATGAGGTGAGCTCATGCTCTATTGTTTATAAAAGCCCTCCGTCGCTGTACATTTAACAACTGTGGTAAATATTTACAAACGCAATTTATACAAAGTTGTTTCTAGTTTTTGTTGAGAATGCTTCCAACATACAACTATAAAGTTTATAATTTTGTGGACTGTATGCTTATGGGCATTACTTAAGCAGCTTTTCCTCGCCATTTATAAGTGAAATAATCAAGAACACACTTAACATACCGAATTTACATATTTCTTGCTTAACTTAAATTTCTAAGTTTTATCACTTATTTCCGATAAAACATATTTCATCAAAATCGTCGAGTAACGTTTACTTATATTATGTAAATAAAAATAGTATCGCAATATAATTACAAATCAAGGTTTGTTTGTTGTTAAGCACAAAACTACACAGTGAACTATCTATGTTATGCCCACCAGTGGGGCTACAAATCAAGGAAACAAGGGAGTTAAAGTCAAAAATACAAAAAGTTCTTATTTTAATGAATCTACAAACAAGACATGATTTTTCTAAGTCATTAAAATAAAATCCTACTGCATTAAGTTAGCCACAGGTAATATTCTTCTAGTGCCTGCGTTTCGAATTTAAAATTCACTATAAAATTAAAAACCAAACCAAGACCATGTGGAAAATTTAATGGAACTATGAGTCAAATTATGGGATTGGAATGCTAACAGATCTCATGGTTTTTACAGTCTGATAGCAACGCTAAATTCATTACGATCATTTATATTTAAAAAACTCCCCAGTGGCTAAGCGGTAAGTCTGAAGGCTTATATCACTAAATACCGGATTTCGATACCTGTTGTAGGCACAGCAGATATAGCCCATTGTTAACTTTGTACTTATCAACAAACAAACACTTAAAAATCCTTAGAACTTAATTCCTTCCCATAATTATCCACGTTTTTTGTACTTACCAACAAACAAACACTTAAAAATCCTTAGAACTTAATTCCTTCCCATAATTATCCACGTTTTTCGAAATTTCTTACTAAAGTGTTACAGAACAAAAGCATAAACATAAACATGTTTTAAAGCACGCTGATAAAATATATATAAAACTCACTTTGTTCTTTCCTCGTCTTCTTATGTCTCGTATCAAAGACAACTGAGATTCAGTTAGCTCGTACTTGGAAAGTTTTTCATTGAACTCATCTATTGGTAAGACGATTATGTCTTCGTTGGATAGGGGGAGGTTTAGTGCTTTGGCTAGTTTATCATCCCTGTTATCGGATTCTGTTTTGCTCAGTTCGTTGCTCTTACGAGTACTGTTTTTCTGGAAAGAGTGAGCGCCATCTATCGAGAGAGGGAAGTAATTGTCCTGAAGAAATGAGTCAATATAAAGAGCGCTGGATCCACTGGCCAAAACGCCTCCACAATAGTTTTCATTGCCCAATGTTGGGGAACTCTCCAAATTTTGGTGAACAAACGTATTCGATAAATAGTTGTCCCCTTGGTCTTGTATATTAAAATAATGCGGATCAAGTACTGGTTGAGTCAGTTGTTCAGCCTCGACAAAACCCTCTTGACTTGTCTGGAATAACGTTCATTGATTTATCATCAGTTAATCAATGTCCTAATATTAGAATTACAATAAAATTCACCTTAGTTTAAGTGATATAAATATAATAAGAAAACTTATCTCACGATAAATTTATGCTGAAAAATTATTTTATGTTTTATAAGTGTTTTTTATTAAACAGCATCTTAAAAATACAAATAATTACAACTTTAGCTTTCAATTTTCATAGAACAAAAACATTAGAAATTGGAACTTTTTTTTATATTTGATACAAAATTCATTTCGTTCCATATCACCCTTTTAAAGCTTCATTCTTATTAAAATGAAATTCAAGTCTAAAAATTAGTACTTTTGGTGGGAGACTGGAAGGTCTCCACCTTTTGGAAGAAGAGGATGTGACGTCATTAGACTTTGTGATGTCACGGGGCAAGGTCAAACGGATATAGTCTTCCATCATTAAAATTAAATATAACCTGTGTTAATATTTGAGATCCTTTTAATCTTCAGATATAAACGTCTCTAATTTGCTGTTTAAACCTACCACACATTGATAATTCAATGGCCTTCTACCGAAAAGTCTGGATTTCTTTTCTGCGAGCAAAGGATGCTGGTTTCCCATGTATTGTGGAGTAACATGACTTCTTTCAACTTCTGACACCATGTGGCATGAATGGATATTTTGTTCTACTGAATAGACCGAATTCTCATAGTCGCCTTGATGTGACGAAGTTTCTGAACAAGTATCAACCCATTCCTACATAAATTCAAACAAAACAAAAAAAGTATATTATACCTTTTTCATCATTCTCACAGCCTACCATGAATGTTTGTTTTGAATTTCGCGCTAAGCCACACGAGAGCTATCTGCGCTAGCCGTCCCTAATTTAGCAGTGTTAGACTAGAGGGAAAGCAGCTGGTCAACACCATCCACCACCAACTCTTGGGCTACTCTTTTACCAACGAATAGTGGGATTAACCGTCACATTATAATGCTCCCACGGCCAAAGGGGCGAGCATGTGTGGTGGGACGGAAATTTGAACCCGCGACCCACAGATTGCGAGTCGAGCACTCTAACCACCTGGCCATGTGAGGCCTACCATGACCGTAATTGAACAATTTGCACTATGTCACCCACTATATATAAAAATTAAAATTTAAAAATTACATGAATTTATACCAAGCAGGTTATAATTTATTAGTGTATTTGATTTTCTCAAGCTTTTCTTTTAATGATAAAAGAAATAAATAACACAGAATAGAATATTTTAAAACAATAGTTTTGTTTGTTTGTAGTTAAGCGCAAAGCTACACCACGGATAACGAAACCCGATTTTTATTGTTATAAGTCTGCAGACATATCGCTAAGCCACTGGGTTGGCTCGAATAGAAGAGATTAAGTACTTTTACTCCACGTTAGCTTTCAGTAGAATAAATTATAGTTAAGAATAAACCATGAAACTTTTTATTTTTATGTAGATATAAAAGAAGTAATGATAAAGAAGGTTAACTTCATGTTTCCTTTGTAACCCTTCATCAGCACTTGCATTAAGCATGAAAATAGTATTCATACTGTTTGTAATAAGGATTACAGTACACTATCTTTAACCTTCCTTACACAAGCACCCGTATAACACAGCATGTATTATACACAAAAGTAATACACCATTCTTGATCTATTTCGCCTCAATAGACTCAGAAACAAGTTTGTTTTGGGTATATTAATCGTCAAGATACCTTGTCTTAGTTTTCTTCAATAATTTCAATACTGGAGGAAAGAACAATATTTCTAATTAATTTAACGCCGACACTGCTGCACGCCCCCCAGTGGCACAGTGGGGTGTCTGAGGACTTACAACGCTAGAATCCGGGTTTCGATACATGTGGTGGGCAGAGCACAGATAGCCCATTGTGTAGCTTAGTGCTTAATTACAAACAAACAAACACTCCTGCACAGAAATAACTTCCCGGTTCTCTCTCTCTCTCTCTCTCTATATATATATATAAATATATTACTATAATGGAGCAATGCCGTGGCCGTCTATATATCTATCTATGTATGTGACCAAAATAATATATACGGTGGTGCCATCTGTTGTGCTGAAATACAAGATCTGAATACCAGAACAGAAGTGGTGATTGAGGCTTAGAAATGTGACACTGTCTGTTGAATAGCACAAATAAAAATCCATAACAAAATCACACTTTGGATATTCAAGATTCAGACAATTAGACAAATGACTATGGTATATGCAAGAACCATTTCTTTATAAGAGAACACAATTTTAAATAAAAGTACTCCCCTCACAACAAGGAGTTTTTCATTAGGACTGTACGTGAGGGTTTGATGATATATTTATTGATGTACTTTTTAAATGTGGTACTTAAAACTGGAATTCTAAGACAATATTATTCATTCAATAAATGGTGACACTTTTAATATATTAAAATATTACAAATAGAAAAATAACTATGGTATGTGCAACAACCATTTCTTTATAACAGAACACTATCTACACAAATATAATTGTACTGTCTGTTGTATGTCCATAACTACTTCGTAAAGTGCGAATGGATCTTCACCAAAATTGGTTTGGAGGTTCATTAGGTCGATGCGGAGGTGCATACAAATTTTAAGTTTTGTATTTTGCGTTTTGCGGTTTTTATGGGCATTTTTTCCCACTACTTTGCCCCCTGTGGATGGATATTCACCAAATTTGGCATGAAGGTTTGTTGGGTCCATGGGGAGATACATACAGATTTTGAGTTTTACGTTTTGTAGTTTTTAATAATGAAGGTATGCGCAATGTTTATAACATTCCAGAAGCATTTAGTAGTTTCCTCCTTTAATGAAAAAATGTAGACTGTTTCAAACCCATTCAACACCAACTCCCACACAGGAAACACTTCGTAGTTTACTCCTTGTTTTAACAATGAACGATTAACTCCTTAACCACATTAACACCATATATCTCAGGCAGCTAATAGAAACCATTTGTTCCGGTTATTAGAAATGAAGCTATGTTGTGTAATGTCTTAGTGCCACCACGCAAAGACAATAAGTTATATATAATTAGATATATTTTTGTACTGTTCTAAGAAACACAATTGTCGCTAGCTATTAGTACCTGAGGACATGCCTAGCTCTGTAATTTTGGGGCTCATTAAATGAAAATACACAACTTTACTGTATTTGTGCAAATCCCATATCGACATAAAGGCATTAAGAAGTGAAAAGTTTGTTTGATTACTTCAAATGTTTCGAACAAATCTACACAAAGGGTATCAGGGTATCTGCACATAGCCTTTACTTATTTAAAACTAACAACACACTAGAGGGAAAGCAGCTAATCAAAAGAACCAACCACCAACGCTTGAGCTACTCGTGTCTGACCGAAAAGTGAAAATTAACGGTCACACTTATAATACACTCACTGCCCGAAAGTGTGGAGCGAAAGTTTGCCGCAAGGGTCCGCGAACCTTAAAACTCACAATCCGAGCACGTTAACCACTGACCTAGAAGTGAAAAGAACATAGTGTTGCTCATATTAGTGGTTAGCATGCTAGTCTGCGGATAATAAAATCCAAGGTTTTACACGTAATGTCGCTGAACATGCTTCTCATTTTCAGTTTCGGGCGCATTATAATCCAATTCCATTCAAAAAGCCAGATAAAGTCTTCGTGGCGGCGGGTGGTTCTGACTAGCTGCTCTTCCTCTGGCTAGTTGTTCAAAATTACGAAAGATTACACTTGAGCCCTGGGTGTTTTTTGATTGGGTGCATAAAGTGACGTGCAGGTTGCAAATTCCAAATCACTTGGAAAGTTATGGAGGATTAAACTGGTATCATACAATACACGTATGAAATAAATGGCAAACCTACTTTCAGTGATAGTGTTTCGAAATACACAAACACACAGAGAAACAAGACTAAATGCACCAAGACCAATATGTTATATGAAATCATATCCTAAAATATTGAAACTTACAGCTTTGGATAACGAATGAATGCGGTCTGGACCCAAAGAAGGTACAGCTGAATCACTGCTGCTCTCCACCCGTTTTTCCACACAACCGAATTGCATATTAAGATGTGAAGGAAAAGGATTTGAATCTATAAAAATGGAAAAACAAAAAGTTTTATTTAGAAAAATGAATAACAATAAAAATACTTCGCTAATTTTTCACAGGACTTCAAATATTATCCTAATTTTATTCTTCTTTTAATTTAAATGTATGTTTTAGCAGATAAAGAAGTTATAATTAGTTATTCCTTTACTATCTAAACCGTGTGGTAAAAACCTTACACGGTACAAGCTGAAGGTAGATATTTTAAATTCTTGATTTTTCGTCCTTTTAATCCAGGTGAATGTTATTAATATTTTAAAATTATTCGATGAAAATAACAAAGTGATATGAAGAATATATAATTGCATGTATATATATAACGCATAGGTATACAACTATTAATAGCTAAAATAAACAATAAGGTGCATAAAACCAAAAGTTGTTCGTGTCACAGTCAAACCCATTCTAATAGAAGGAAATGACGATTTAATCAAGTTATTAGAGGAACTGAAACAGGTAAAGTGGAAATATCGGCATCTAAATAATTAATTACTCACAAATAATTAGTTTCTTATTAAACAACTTATGTTTGAAGATCCTTTAAAAAATAGGTGCATGTTTAAAATCTCTAATCTGCATTAATTTAGATGTAATTTCTATTACAAGTTGTATTATTATAATATTTCTTAAGAGTTTGTAATACACAATTTGATTTTAGTAACAAGTTCTTGTGATATTTGTATATAATTGTCAATTTACAATAACATTTTTATTGCGTTTAATTAAGTTGATATCGCAGAATTTAACCGTCTTTTACATTATTTGACCCCTTTATAAAAGCTAATCCACGGATGTGTGTCGCTGCAGATGTGAATCATGGCAACAGACCTACGTGTTTAGCACTTGATCACTCGACAGTGTAATGTTGCCACAGAAAAACTTATGACTGAAGAGTTCATATAAACTATACACAGCCAAATACACAACATTCTGAGGAAGAGAGCTTTTAACATTCTTCATTGAAGTAGAAGAACTCTTACATCACTATGACAGTACCGAGCTCCGAAATCACGCTCCAAACCAGTCTGGAGCAACGCCCTCCTCTGTAAAGTGAAAGTTATGGTTAGAAAGAGAACCTTCAAACCTATAAAACTGTTGTGACAAAAACAAGAATATTTTTTAGTATCGTCGACTAAGACTAACAAACCATAAAATGTACAATCTTCCAGTCATAATTTGAAATCAACGAGAAAAATAAGCAAAAAGTTGATATCTCAGCAATCTCGACCATATACCTTTCAGGTTCTGTGGAACATTTAATGAAATTTGTGGCCTAAGGTTTACCTTGCCATTTCAGTAAACCTCTAATGGAATGTTGGTGCGGAGAGACTCTATATCAACTTTAGCTCAGTAAACCTCTAATGGTTTGTTTTTAACTATGCACAAAGCTACACAAGGGCTATCTGTGCTCTGCCCACCACGAGTATCGAAACCCGGTTTCTAGAGTTGTAAGTCCGCAGACATATCACTGTGCCACTGGGTGGCACCTCTAATGGAATGTTGGTGCGGAGAGACTCTATATCAAATCTAGCTCAGTTAACCTTTAATGGAATGTTGGTACGGAGAGGCTCAATATCAAAATTAGTTCAGTAAACCTCTAATAGAATGCTGGTATAGAGAGATTCTAGATCAAAACTGTCACATAAACCTTATTATCAAAATTCATATACTATATGTCTTGAGAAAAAAATCAACACTATCTTTGATAGTACATTTGTTACTGGGTAGTGGCTTCAACAGTTTTACTAGAAAAGAGACAAGTTCATAATTACAATTCCCAGTATTGGACATGAGCTCTACACATAATGTCAGAATGGGAACTTGATGGCCTTATTTTTTATTTTAATTGATATATTTGTAATTTACTTTCTATAGTTTTAGTCGAGTCTCTTTACAGGTTTACAAATTTAATTTTAATATTTACTATTTATTTTACGTTATTAGTACAATCAGGTTTGTTTAGCATGATTATACCCTTTCCTTTACGTGGCTATGTTATTACTATATTGTTTTTAGCTATGTTGAGAAACAGACTATGATGAAAAGGCACTATAGGAGGGATATCAGGCACAATTTGAAATAATTTTCAAGGTGAACGGATGGAGTAGTGAATAACAAACAAGCTATTCATCTCGATACACATTTAGAAGAAACATCTTTACAACATTAAGCAACCTTAACAACTACCAGGCATTAGTGACTATGTTATAAAAAAAGACTTGGAATTCCACATCAGAAGGAAATCAAAGTTTAGTAGCAGAGCAAGGAGAAAGGATGGGACCTCAATAGAACTTGTTAAATATATGTAAAACTTGTCTTGTTGTCTTATATGGATGCTACACGTAAAATGATGGATTTGTTTACACACGACCAATTCATAGATGCTTTAGTGGGTGGAAATATTTTAATAAACTAAAGCAAAGTAGGTTTACATCTTTAGAGAAAGATGTTCAGCTAGTGATGGACTTTGAACCAATTAGAGCTGCAAATAAACAGCTAAAAGTACCACTCAGAAATCATGTGACAGTCAGATCAAATAGAGTGGGAACATTAACTTCCTCTTATGGATTTCCTGAAAAATTTAAAGGATTAGTTAAATAACTGTTTATTAAGAATAGAAGGAGTAAACCACGGGACAAAAGATGTTTCAATGGCAACTTAAAATGGAATATTGCTTGGAAAAGCAGACGAAAGCTTTTAGGAAAATTACTCCTGAAGTTTGACAGGGCAAGAAACTACTATTAGCGTGGAAAACAGGAATATTACAACTAAGACTGTGATGAATCAGCCGCCATTGATAGTGAGCCAAGAAAATGATATCCTGAGGATGAAAATATTTGATCTGCCACCATTGAAGTAAGAAGTACATTATTTAAAGAAACCAGGCCATAAATGAATGTGTTCATTAACGGAAAATCTTGCATAATATTGATCAGCACTGATTATGCAATTACAATTACTTGAACTGATCTGGTAAATAAAGCTGAAAAATTGTCTCCAGAAATGAAGAAGATGGACTGATGCCAGCAGAAAGTAGTCATAAAAATTATAGAAGTAAAGCCACTGGCTAAACAGCAGAGAAACGTCTAAATTAAAAACATAGTCTACAACAATATTTTCATTTTTTTATGACTTGAAATTTATATTTACTTATATTTACGGGTTTACTTAAAAAATGTAGTTGTCAAACGATGTGCAAGCATTACGTTTATGTTAAATGACAAATGTTAAGCTACGAGCCAATATTCTTTTTCTTACGGTTGAAACATAATCAGACAGGTAGAGTATTACATCATCAAGATGATCAACAGAAATCTCTCTTTTAAATTTCCTTAACCAGTTTGATTTTTTGTGTGTTTTAGAAGCACTTTGTTATTTTGTGTACTTATCCAGTTAAGTTAATTAATTTAATCTAGTTTACTATTATTTAACAAGGAAGAAGATTATTCTAGTTGTCGTCTAATTAATTTGTGAGTTTTAATTTTTTGCTTTATTTAAAGTTTATAATTGATTTTTTTGAACAAGAAGTCTCAGGTGGGACAGCGGTAGGTCTACGGGATTACAAGGCTAAAATTCGGGGTTCGATTCCCTGCGATGGACATAGTAGATAGCATAATGTGGCTTTGCTCCAAAAACAAACAGATAAACTAAAAATACTGCTGTGATAGTGAACTTAGGGAATAGGCATTTTAGAATTGTCAAATTTGGTGTCACATTGTCAGTTTTTTATTCTTCAAAAAATATAGATCTAAATTATTCTTATAAAGTTTAAAATGTAGTTCTACAGTTTTTCTAAATAATTATTAAGTAAATTTATTATATTTTTTTGTTAATTAGAATAGCAACAGACTCGTGTTTTGGAAGTCCGAAACATTTAAATTTTAGAACTAACAGAGTATCATACCATATGTCATAACTGCAAATTTGAAAGCAACGTCATTTTCCTGCATTTAGAATCATGCACTTAACGAAAGCAACGAACATATATATAAAGGATAATTCAAAGTTATCGCAAGAATTAATAATGGTCAGGAGTTTCCATAAAGAGTCGGTCAACTTCAACCGAGATTAAGTTTGTAAGCGATTATGCTTTGTAAACATAAGTTGTGGTTAATGTACTAGTTGGAATGGCACTACTACTATTAGGTAGTTTTTACCAATAAAACATTTGTTTCTGCGCCTTTAAGTGTACTAGCAATATAAGGCAAACTATATATGAAGTTTTGGAATATACCGTGGTGTGCATTCATCTTCAAACCTGCAACAAAATGACACTGTTTAGTTAAGGTCGTAGTGAGGTTAATCGTACTTTATAAAAACGATATTCCATGTCCCTTCTGCCCTTGGAATTAATCTCCATTATGGATCGTGCTCTTTCTAGTAGACATAATAACACACTGTTATTCGACATCACAGTTTGTATTGTAGCAAGCTTATGTGAAAAACAACGAGGTCAAAGTTCCACCATGAATACAAACTATCTACAGACGCTCCACTGTATCTGTTTTACAGATAAAGTTTAAGCAGACAAAATACATGAAAGTAAAGCAGCTGTTAATTTAAAGGTGTAGCTGGAAGCCACTGAACATCAAACTTCTGTTTATTACCTTATAAATGATACCAGAAGATACGTCCAGCTATATTACAATGGTTTCTGGGTTGGAGGGTCCTCTTTCGTAACAATAGCACTCCTTTCGCAGATAAGAGTGTTGACCCGATTGACTTGGCGTGTGGTTTTGGAGCGTTTTGCTGTCCTAAAAGCTCTGCTGTGTGAGTTTTATCGTTCCTATTGAGAACACGAATGGTGTATGTCCTTTGGTTCTGTCTCGTTTATCAAACTTACTGTATAAATATTTCTGTATAAAAAGTATTTTTTTTATTAATACTTCAGTTGTATATCTGCCATTGATGGCATTGAATTGTCGAATTGTCAGGAATTCATCATGAGACACGACTTATATTTGAAGAGATACGCTGTTGCTTTAGCACATACAAGCCCCCCCCCCCCCCCAGTGACATAACAATATGTCTGCGGACTTACAACGCTAGAAACAGGGTTTTGATACCCGTGGTGAGCCGAGCACAGATAGCCCTTTGTATAGCTTGTGCTTAACTACAATCAACCAACCAATCACATACAAGTTACTCAAATAAAGTGTAGTAACTCTCTTATTCAAGTGTTCAAGCTTTCCTAGATTTTTCGTTTCATTCAGTTTAATTTACTCGTGTATTTCTCAATTATAGGATTAAAGACAGCCTTAAGGATTTTTTAAAGGGAAGAAGAAAGCAGTGATTAATGAAGAAATAATTTGTATTATTTGTTGCAAAGTATTGCTATGAATAGTTTCGTTGGAGTTACTTGCAGGTGATAATTATTTTTACAAGTTACAACTTTCATAATAAAGAAGAATATTTATTTATACAGGTACAATGTTTCGATTGCCTGTGCGATCATTCTCAAGTATACAGGTTTGTTTCTTTTTGCTTTACAAATAACAAATTGGGCAAATTGTAGTACTTAATAAATGTGACTACATTAAAGGAGTGGAAGACCTATTAAATGAAGGTATATATGAACAATGTAAGTATTAATCCTAGATATAAGTATCACGAGTTAGTAAAAACAAGTGTTAAAAATTGTTTAACTTCAACAGATTATTCCAGTTAATTTTATTACTCCGAGACTTTATGTACTTCCAAAAATACATAAAATGAATAACAGTTTTAGACCAATAGTATCGACTATAGGTACTTCATCGTATCAAATAGTGAAATATATAGCTCAGAAGTATTCTTGTTTGAGAAATAAAAATAAATATACAGTTAAAAATGATTTAGAGTTTGTAGAGAAAATAAAAATGTAAATTTCAAAAAAGGAAGAGTTGTTAGTGTTGTTATTTGCAAATGTTACAGTAAAGAATGCAATTATTTTGAAAATACATAATTACAAAATAAAACTTCAGCAGTTGAAACTATAGATGCAATTAATCTAACAAGGATGTGTGTATAAAGTACTCTTTTTTTTTCAGATACATTAACAATAATTTTTATGAACAAGACGAAGGGTTAGCAATGGGATCCCTCACTTTCACCATTGTTATGTGACTTATGTATGGATGCATTTGAAAGAAAAGCCATAAATTGTGCAAAATGTAAACCTGATATTTGGATAAGGTATGTAGATTACATAGTCTTGGTGTGGAAATATGGTGATAAAGCATTAACAGAGTTTGCATTCTATTTGAATAGCATAGAACCTTTTATAAAGTTTACCTATGAAACTGAGAAAAATAATAGTTTGCCTTTTCTAGAAGTATTGGTAAAAAGGAATGAACAAAATTATTTAGAAACGTCTATTTGTCGGAAACCTTTCTCAGTTCTTATGCCACCAGATCAGGAAACGTGTCATGCTTACGTTCACAGAATTTTGAAGATATGTACAAAACAAGAGGACTTAAACACGAGTTGTTACTAATGAAATATATAGCAGGTGAAAGAGGATTTAACTCGAATATTGTAAATAGTGCAGTTAAGAAATTCACTAATGTGGTAATAATGGGTCAAAATAAAACAAAACCTAATTTAAAATATCGTTTAGCAGAACATAAAAGATGTGTAAGAAATAAAAAGATTGGAAATTCGTCCATAGCAGAACATGTACAAAAAACACAACATAAGATATTATGGGAAAAACATTAATATCAACTCAACCAAAAGGTATTAGAACCAATAATATCCGTGAATCTTTGGAAATAATAAAGTATACAAAAATCATGAATTATTACATAGAGACAAAGGTCTGGCGAATATCTGTGTACGAATGTGGTGGGATTTCCACCAAGAATTATGCAGAAATAGTAAACCTACACACAGGTAACATGACCTAGTTAAAAAGGTATAAATACGACGCTATTACATCTTACAATTTCACTCCTGATGACGACGTTAAAACGTCGAAATATGTAGAATCGACTTTTTGGAGGCCACAGACTGGTCTGCATTTAATAAATTTGTAATTGTGTATCCATTTTAATGTCGTTTGTTATTTATTATTTTAGAACCAGCTAGTTTAACAACTGCTGTAAGTTATGTTTGATTCTAACCAAATCAATTTAATTTGTATGTTGTTGCTAAGCGCAAAGCTGCACAATGAACTGTTTTGTGTCCATCACAAGATCGACCCCTGAATTTTAGTATTACAAGCTCTTAAGCCTATTGACGAGCTACCGGGGGGGAGGGGATCAGTTTGATTCCGAGCTACTGAATTAAAATTTATTTTGAACAAAATTATAAATTTGATCTAGTAATCTTTAATATATCTTTAACGGGATATTGTTTTGTTTAATCTTTCGTAATCATGCAAATTTGAATGAATAGAAGTTGTATCTCTAAAAGCATAGTCAGATAATTCGCTACAGATATACTTAATATGTTAGTGTCTGTGTATATATATATGTGTGTGTGTGTATGTAGACGTATATGAAGTAATCCACAAAGTCAGTACATAAAGTAATATGTGAACACATTATCAGATGTGTCATTAAACTTATATCCAAATGAAAATGTAATATTTTCTATATCCCATAACTAACACTAAATGTAAGCGTCAATCATATACCTTCAGCATTATCACTGACGTCCATTACATGGAGAGCATTGTCCACCAGTAGTTCAGGAAGTAGATACTCTTGGTTGCTAGCTGGAAGCTGCGTGGGTGTGTTTAGCTGATCTAGGGTGAGACTGGTCCTTGTACCAGGCAGCTGTAATGCTGGAGGTACAGCAGCGGACGTATTACTACCATATACAAACTCTTGGAAGTCTTGATCATACATCACATTCATCATCCCTTCTGTAGCCGGATCTGTACCATTAGCCAATGCAGCAAGGGAGACTGCCATTGCTGTTCCAATGTTCGACGTACCTCCTGCTCAAAGAAAGATAATCTTAAAAGTTTTGCTTTCATATAATCTTGCTACTGAAAATATTTGGATGCAACCTGTGCACAAAATTTGTATTCATACAGTAGCATTACGAAGAACTCGAGATGTAATCAGCTGTGAAAAACTTATTACATATATGCTGTAAACCCCAAGCATAATAAACACTGGTATTTTTTTTACTACCCTTATTCCATGCAAATGTAACTCATATACATTAAACAATGTGACCTTTCTTCAACCACGATTCACTCTGTCAGTGTCTGTAATGTCGTGCTAAAGACCTAATTAGTCACACCAAAGCGGATTTTTTGAACTTTCAAAATTAAAACAGTTTGCATCTCCAATGAACTTGATTTGTCAGTAAAAAACTTTAACATTTTTACTTGTATTAATATATAAGAACATACGTATGTTTCTATATAAACTTCTTAAATGGCTCAAACAATAGAAACACTAAAATCTACGCAATTGAAATTTACATAATAAAAATTTGTTCGTATAAACTTCGCTCCAAGGAATTAATGTTGTAACATACATCATAAAATTTAAACATCCTCTGATTAAATATCTTTTAAAAATCAGATTTGTTGTTGTGCAATAATGATTAAAATTTCGAGCTGAAAAACAATAACACAATTTAAAATAGCATTAGTTAAATGCAGTGGATTCCCTCTAGTGCAGCTAATACACACTTATGGTTGCCAGAAGTGTGCCTTATTCCATATATTCTTAGATTAATTGAAGATTTAAATAATATATTGGGTAAATGTTAATAAGTATTTAAGATTTGTTCTTGAATTTTGAATTTTATTATCTATTTATTCTTTTGTCAAAACATTTTAAATAGAAAGTAAAAGTAGAGAAGCTATTTCAATTAATCAATTAGAATAATTAATAAATAAAATGTCAGGGGTCAATTTGTATTTATTATAATTTCCTTTAATCATGTGAGTACGCCACCTTAATGTATTTAATGTGTTGTGTCGTAGATAATTGTTTTTTTATTACCCGATGTTGCATTTAGTAGAACTTAGTGATATCTTGAGATAATTTTCTGAACCTTGTTTTTACTGTTCTTAACTTTTCTATAGTTTAATGAGCGAGGTACCTCTATTTTGTTTGTTATTGGCTATAACTGACCTTGATATTGGTTTTAAGATGATAGCTGGTTTATCTAAAAGTTTTAGTTTAATAATATACAATGGAATTCGTGTTATAAGAAACTGGTTTACAAAGAGCTGTCACACAATAATAGCACTTAAACTAAAGCGTGTACAATTTTGCATGTCATCTATTCTATATAAAAACAATGAATTAATCTACACTGGTTCACGTATTATGGGTTTAACTATCACACGAATATAAGCATTACCAAACTTTATTAATACAGATAAAATCAAATACAACACAAATGATTTTGTAATATCTGTATTATTTGAGAGTAGTGTTTCACAACGTTACCACATCATGTTTTGCGCAATTACTCATGTTTTTTTTTATGTCTTAGTATACCAGTTTAGCAACTTAAGTAAAAGAGCCTGATCTTCAGTATAACCGTGTATGTGTGTGTGTGTAAGCCTTTAATTAACATATCAGAACTATTAAATTGATTGTGACTAAACTTTTGAGTATTACCAAATGTTCAGTTGCTTGTGTATTTCTGTAATCGAACAGACGGAATATTCTCCATATAAGATGGCCACATAATGTTGTTTTGGTGTTGAACGTGAATCCCGTAGATCCACGTCTACTTTACACACCTGAGGCACAAAGACAGGTAATCAGATAAAAAGTACATACGACAGGAGACTTCATGGTTGCACGTGTCCAAAATAGTGAATAAAAATGTAAGAGAAAGCAGAAATTTATATATTATTAAACATATGGGCAACTCGTGTTGTAGAGGCTGTGCCACAAAAGAGTTTTCAGCGAAACGAACACCCTTATTAAGTATAGTTTCAGTAGGTCAGTCAGATTACAACATGTAGCTTTGCAACATCTACCAACTAGATAAATAATGGTGGAAGTACTCTATATTAATTTTTACATATAACATTATACATATAACATATAACATTATACATATAACATATAACATTATACATATAACATATAACATTACAACATGTAGCTTTGCGACATCTACCAACTAGATGAATAATGGTGGAAGTACTCTATAATAATTTTTACATATAAAATTTTAATATAAAAAAAACAACATGAAAAACAACAAAATAGGCAACCGAGTGATACGTCAAGTGCATAAGATAATGATCGTTAGTTCGCTTTCTAACACATTTGTGCTATAAAGTTATTGTAATTTTCTTTCTATTAGATCATTTTATAATGCTATAATAACTGAAATAAGTGTTTTTCATATATATTGCTAAAATCACATTATCTATTTTACGTTTGTAACCCTAAGTTAATGAAATCCAAGTAGTTAATTATAATGATATTAAGTTCGTTATGTCTAGATAATAGTTTATATAAGGATAAGTCACGAATATTATATACAGTATTTTTTAATCATTAGCTATTAAAACTTCTAAAAAAATTCCGTAAAAAATATCATTTTTTTCATCCTTTTATCAAAAGTCTAAATCGAAGAAATTCAACTATTTCTAATGACTAGTAATATTTTCCTCTAAACTTACCAACACAAGAGAATGTATAAGGCAACCCCTTAGATAGACCTGTACTTGGATGGCCACTAGAAACTGATCCATTGGACAAAACAGAACCTGCACAATAAACATCGTTAATATCGGTTTGGGACGACAGCGGAGCAGATGAAGAGGTAACACCCATCGAACAGTAGCTTCGGTGGGTGGTGGTGGTGGAAAATACTGTTCCTAGATTATCGTTGTTAGCCATTAGAGAAAGGCTAAAGGGGGACGACATATCCTGCCAGCATTCTTCTGTCACGGGATACATTTCTGTCTGTCATGGAAAAAAATAACTTGATTTTAACTCGTACTCTGATTTATCCTATAAACTACGTTACGATGTTCTTTCATTTTAAAACCCGTTTATTCCAGCGAGAACACCTTGAATTATTCAGCAAAGTAATGGCAATAAGTTTTACCATTCTACAACGGCATGACAAAAAGTTTTACCATTCTACAACGGCATGACAATAAGTTTTACCATTCTACAACGGCATGACAATAAGTTTACTATTCTACAACGGCATGACAATAAGTTTTACTATTCTACAACGGCATGACAATAAGTTTTACTATTCTACAACGGAATGACAAAAAGTTTTACCATTCTACAACGGCATGACAATAAGTTTTACTATTCTACAACGGCATGAAAATAAGTTTTACCATTCTACAACGGAATGACAATAAGTTTTACCATTCTACAACGGCATGACAATAAGTTTTACTATTCTACAACGGCATGACAAAAAGTTATATCATTCTACAACGGCATGCCAATAAGTTTTACCATTCTACAACGGCATGACAATAAGTTTTACCATTCTACAACGGCATGACAATAAGTTTTACCATTCTACAACGGCATGACAATAAGTTTTACCATTCTACAACGGCATGACAATAAGTTTTACTATTCTACAACGGCATGACAATAAGTTTTACCATTCTACAACGGCAAATTTAGATTATACGCTGTATTCCTCGGCGACTGCAACTGCAAGCAACTTGTTACATACATTACATAGATATGTATTATTTTTCCCTTTTTACAGGCATTTTGCCGAAGCATGTAAAATTAAGTATGCACTTCTACTTCTACACCTACTATACCTTATTCAGAATCATTGGCCAAAATATTAGCTTTAGAACTATTTTCAACATAATATCTCAAGCGCAAAAAATGAAAACAAAAAATATTATTTTGCTCTGTTTTTCAGTGTTATTATATTTAAAGTTTGAGATCACTAAAATCTGAATAACATAATCAGGGTACGTAGTACTTGAAATCAGCAAAATAAGTAGTTTTATATATATTTATTCCTGTAAACTCCCAGTGGAGCATAGGGCCGCAACAACACCTCGCCAACGGAAGGTGTTGTTG